GTATTGAAACCAGGTTTCTAGCGTTGTAATTCCGCAGACATGCCGCTGTGCCACTGGGGGCCCAATGTAGCGCTTGACGAATTGTTAGGATTGAGGTTTTATGAAGCTTAATTTAGAAGTATGCTAAAATTTTGTCTGTATGATAATTCTGAATAAAATTATTGAGGTTGGTGGGTTTTTTAGCACAAAGCTACAAAAAGTATTACTGCGCGGGGGAATAGAACTTCGGACTTTAAACTCCAAGGTTTAGTGCTATTCATACAAGTGAATGAAATCATACTGGACCTCCATGAAATTGTCTTTCTTCTTGAAATTTTCATCTAACTTAAAACGTACCAGCAAGAAAACATTACACAAAGCTCACGAGGTCATTCACTAAACTGACAAATACAAAATAAAAATACTATCACTGATATACACAATACCAGTCGATATCTAACTATATGTCAAAATGGACATGCATACATTTGTAATTATGGCACAAGAATCTTTATAGCTTGTACTAAGACTAACACATATATACAAGTAGTACGTATAAAAAGAAAGAGAAATCAAGGAACTCTTCACAAAGTGGAAAGTTTAGGCCTAACACGACAAAGGTAAAATAATTCTCGTACTGTGACATATTTTGGCACAGATGTTCTTATCATCACAAATTAACTGTTGACGAGTAGATAGAGAGTAAAATAGAACTTTCTAACACTAATGAAGAACGCCTTCTCAAGCTTACAAAAATTTATCTATCAATGTATTTTTTTAAATTTAGGGTTTCACTGTAATTTCGGAACAGTAGAACTGTACACGTACCATGGTTGTTCTATTTTACTGCGTGTCACAAAACTTGAATATTTTCATCACCAAACTTTTTATTTAGTTTTTGTTTGTAGTTAAGCACAAAGTTACACAAGGGGTTATCTGTGCTCTGCCCACCACGGGTATCAAAACCCGGATTTTAGCGTTGTAAGTCCGCAGACATACCGCTGTGCCACTGGGGGGCTTTATTTAGTGACGCATAGAAAGTTTTATTTGTTTATTTTTTGGTTGTTAAGCTCAAAACTAAACAATGGACTATCTGGGCTATGCCCGCCACAGGTATCGGAACCCGGTTTATAGCATCATAAGCCTTCAAACTTATCGTTGAGCCACTGGGGTGGGGGGCTGCACAGAAGGAATAAACTGAATATGGGAATGAGAGTGAAATTATATTTGGCTCACTCTGTAGTAAAACGAATATGGATTTACGAGTATATGCGGTCATGTTTCTTGTATGAGCAATTTTCATGTTTTTATGGACAAACACAGACAAGACTAATAATATGTATGCATTGTTTGCAAGTAAGCTTCCCTCGATATTAAAGTATGGAAGTGTGCAACTAAATATGTGCCTGATTTCGTCACATTGTGTGTGACCCTTGTTTTACTTTTAATGTGCAATAGTTCACATCATAAATGTGCAATAACAGCAGTTCAAGTCCTACAGATGTAGAATCAACTTTTATGTATATCAAAGAAAGTATAATTGTATAGATAACGACTGAAATTACTGTGAAAATGTGGACGATGTTCTAAGTTTTCCATATGCTATAACAATGAATTCAGATCTGGTGAAAGCCTCTACTTCTGCATTGTGTATTTCAGGAATGATGAGTAATAAATAAATCAATCTTGCAAATTATCACAGTACCAAAATATTATTGTTGTTTTTAGTGCAAAGCACAACAATGGGCTATATGCCTTCTATCCACCACTGGGAACTGAACCCCAGTTATCAGTGTTATAAGCCTGCAAGCTTACTGCTAACCCACCGAAGAGGGATGGGATGGTGGACAGCACCAAAACAGGTTATTTACTGAGCTACATGTATATGCGAGATCTAATGGTTAAAAGAGCAATGAGACAAGGAACTCGTGGACTAAAATCCTTCATGATTTCCTTGAACCTCTAAATACAATTCTCCAGGTCTAATTGTAGTTGGGTCTCCTGACCAACAAGTTCACCAGCACGTTTCACATCAGAGTAGAAATCGCAATATAAACAGTGCTGCTAAATCAGTGTTTAAATTCTTTCCTCATAACTAACTGAAGAATTCAGTTTTAACTGCCCACAACACAGGCAAAAGTAAAAAAAAACAACGACAAAGAAATACATATTAAATTAATTTTTCATCTGCAAGAGTAGTTTAACATTTTTCTACAGTATATTTGCATATTTTTTAATTTGTTTTGATTTTTCATACATAAAATGCCTATTGTCAAGAGCTGGTAGTAAACATTCTTCTGCAGAAAAACATTACTTGTGGCATTTCTATTAAAAATGCCTGACATATGACGTAAGCATTCATATGTTTCCTACAGTACGACTGTGTACAAACAGTCTTATGTGAATGGATTAAAGATGCAACACAGCTTCAAAGAGGTAATGTAAAAAAGATGTTTACGCAAGTGAGTTTTGACATTTCTACCAGCAAGTGGGAATTGTGGCTCTATCAGATTAACTGTGAAATTTACTTTATTTCGCTGTAAAATACTGATTTGCAGAATTAATTTTGTTAATGAATAGAAAGTTGTGAACAACCTAAAAACATATATATATATGGTTACTCCAGTATAAATTGCTGGTTGCACTGTTCAAGCATAAGTTTATTTCTTACTAGTGTATAAGATATATATATGTTCTGTTTAAAGATGAGTTTCAAGATGCTAATAAACTCTGAGCAGGCATATTACTTCTCTAAGTATGTGGAGTGTTGAAATGCAGGTGTGAAGTATCTTTGTTTAAAAGTATTAATGTATAATGTGTATCAGTAATGCAGTATTAAAGGTTTGAGCCAGTCATCAAATATACAATATTGATTTTCTACATAGAAAAATTATTACTCTGTACACACACACACACCAAATAAAATTTTATCCTTTTAGAAAGAGCTATTACTGTATACGATTTTAACTCTTTACTCTGTGATAAGCTTACCAGCCAAAGAAATAAGAAGGAAATAACTGAAGCATCTTGAAACAGGCCTTCCAATGGCACATCAAGAACAATACAAAGTTAATTTTAGGGACAAGTTAAAGAAAAGTGGGACAGATTCTAGGGACAAATAGCAAACTATTAATACGACATCTCATCAAGGTAGATGGCTATTAATACATATTTAGTAATGAATGATGTATTCACCTTACAGGCTTTTTATGTCTTTATACATTTGATACACATGTCAATTTCTCTTAGTACCAAGAAGACTAACGGAAACCTCTCTAGTAAAATTTGGAACGTTTGCATCAGCCAGATTGTCACTCAAAAGGTTTCTGCTATAAATGATCAGCCTGAGAAGCTAACACACAAACTCTCTCCTTTCACCCTTGAATAAAGAAAAGTAGGGAGTTTTGACAAAAAAACTTGGGGGAGGTGGATGAAAACATAGGAAATTAAAGTAAGGGCATTCCAATTGGGGAAGGGGGATGAAAATATAAGAAATTAAAGTAGGGGCATTTGAAGATAGTCAGCATTCCTGTTTAACATGCACATAGGTTAAGATAAAAAACTGTAGTTTTTTTATTGGTAAGATATCATGTTTGAATAGATTACTTTACTGTTTTTAGCAGATACAAATTCTGCTTCGTTGCCATCCATGATAAACTCTAAAAAAAAAATTGTCAAGTGTTCTAATATCTTATCTTCATCCCAAACATTTCAAGTAAGACTTTTGTAACTGTCAGTCAAACAAACAAATACAGTTGAGTAAACAAAACATAGACTAAATTGGCCGTAAAAAATACTATACAATTAGATAACTGAAACATAAATAAGACTTACAAAAATGATATCTTTGTCTATGTTAAAGTCCTGTACAAGATGTGCCATGCACCAGATTCTCTGTGACATTCAAATGTAAAAATGTCACAATATATATATATAAAAGAAAGTCACGGTTCATTTGTTTTTGGCTACTTCTAAAGGTTCATGGCTCAATATACTGAACAAAAGTTACTATCTTACTTTTATACTTTCAAAGATAGCTCACGTCTTGAGTAACAACATGTTCGGAATTTATGTAAACTGAATCATACTAAAATCCACTAAAAAGTTATAACTGATAACACATACATTCACAAATTTGAAATATAACTTAAAAATTTACAAGTCCTTATAAAACCACTATATAACCTTCTTTAGCGATTGAAGGTATGGTTCAACACAAATATTAGCTTCTTAATAAACCAGAATGTATTGCTATACAACAGCGTTAATTTTAAGTACAGACAATGATGGCTACATTAATTTTAAGTACACAGTTCATACTGTATACACATAGTTTTCACAAGTCAGAGGAACTTAGTAACATAAAAGGTTAGCACATTGTACTTTTGTATTACAATAAACACAATGACTTAAATTAAGGAGTACATATGGTGAAACACATAATAATATATAAAACCAATGTGTTTCGCATTAAAAGTTTTCTGTATGTAAATATTGATACAACCTAATTGTCCAACTGATCTTGAAAATTCCACATTATCTTCTAAAGACTTCTTAGCAACATTGTGAATTAATTTTAACTATTTTGAGAATGTTTTGTTATGACGTTATGGTAACCTATTTAAGGTATTTGGATTTTAAGACTTAAAAAAAAAAGATTTTCATATATTTATGGTAAGCGTATATATATATAGATAGTGTATCGGGCTAAATTTTTCAACCGTTTTATCTCTTCACTAACTTTCAAGTTATAGAAAGTACACCTAGTCCTGAGTTTGGAAGCTGCTAAGTCCAGTAACATGCCATTGCTGAATAGTTACAGCCATTTTTTTTCACCTAAGAGATGGTAAACATTCCTATAGAACTCTTGAACATTTATATCTAACTAGAATATGTCCCTGTTTTCTTTTTCATCACAAGATAGCACAGTACACAAAGATTACTGTTGACACCATGAGAAAATTGGAGGAGGTCATTTTTGGAGCTGTTGATAACTTTTTTGGTGGAGTTTTAGTGGAATCTGCTGGCCACATCGGGGCTGCAGGAGCTCGAGTAGTGGAGTAACTGAAATAGATGTCATGAGAGTTGTCGTCTTCGGTGTCGTCAGGCATCCATCCACTTCCACTACCACTACCATCATCCACTAAAGAAGATCAGATAAACAGTATCAGTACGAAGTACTCATAACTAGGCAAACAGCTAAAACTCTTATCATGTGTCTTAAGTACTTTACTTGTTTCTAGAAAAAATACAAATGCTGATTAAGCCACTGTGATTGAGACAATCGATATAAGGGATGAGTATGACTGTGATGTGGTGAAGGTTAACTACTAGTGTATGAACACATGGTGTTGATGAAAAGTCGAATAAAGCTTAAATAATATATCATAAAAATAACTAGTCTTGTTACACTGGTTGATGACAAGTCGAAGAAAGCTTAAATAATTCATCATAAAAAAATAACTAGTCTTGTTACACTGGTTGATGACAAGTCGAAGGAAAGCTTAAATAATGCATCATAAAAAAGAACTAGTCTTGTTACACTGGCTGATGACAAGTCAAAGAAAGTTTAAATAATGCATCATAAAAAAAGAACTAGTCTTGTTACTTTGGTTGATGACAAGTCGAAGAAAGCTTAAATAATACATCATAAAAAAAGAACTAGTCTTGTTACACTGGTTGATGACAAGTTGAAGAAAGCTTAGATAATTCATCATAAAAAAAGAACTAGTCTTGTTACACTGGTTGATGACAAGTTGAAGAAAGCTTAAATAATTCATCATAAAAAAATAACTAGTCTTGTTACACTGGTTGATGACAAGTTGAAGAAAGCTTAAATAATTCATCATAAAAAAAATAACTAGTCTTTAAAGTTCGCATTTCTTGGGTTGTACACTGCTAAGTCACACAAACAATCCATTTCAGGAAATTGAATTTTTATTTTTTCTGGTCAAAACTACAAAATCAGCTACATATGTTTTGAAAAATCAAACCTATCATTGAAACGGTAACGATTTCGCATTGACTTCAATAATAGTTTAGGTAAAGTTAAAATATGCTGATAATTATCCTTTAAAAAAAAACTCAATTTTAAATCTCGTTGCTTAGACTCTAATCCAGTGCTGCCATCTAGTAGCTACATCTTTACAATTTAAAAATTATGTTTGCAAAAACTACTCATTTTAATAGCAAGCACTTCTAATAGTACAATGTCCCAATATTTTATCAACCAAATTTGAATTTCAAAGTGACATATATGACACTTTGATGCATTATATTTGTAATATCAACCTCAAAATAAATTTATTTTCATCTGAGAATACACTTGTTCTCTGAAAATTAATTTAATTACTCTGTTACAAACGTACTTCAGCTTAGGTTTCTCAGTTGTTGTTTTTTTTTTTGCTAGGTATTATTACAAACTGTAACTACAGCAAAAATTACGAGTGATAATTAAACCGTAGTAAAAACGAACTAGTGAGAACATATATCTTAATAACCACAAATAAACCAGATATACATCCATTTCCCACCATGAATTGAATACTGCTTATAACTGTTTCACTCAACACTCTTGTAAAAGAAAAATAATTTTAATAAATTAATAAAAAATAATAATTTCAGCATACAAGAGCAACGACTGCTTAGCAGAGAGTGCCTGTTTTGTTTGTTTATTTGTTGTTAAGAGCAAAACTACATAATGGACTATCTGTGTTGTCCCCACCACAAGTATGGAAACTCAGTTTTTAGCTTTATAAATCTTCAGATTTGCTACTGAGCCACTGGGGGAGAGGGAACATGGACATATGCACGTACCTGAGAAAAAAACTCACGAGAGGTAAGTTAAACAATTCAATGAAGGACATACTCTGTCCTCAATAAAAGCATATGATAACATATATTCACACAATTGACCTACTTCAGCTTGTAGCATGAAAAAAAATCTCAATACTCCTAGGTTTGTTGACAAGATGGAGAAAAAATCCCATTGTTGAACAGTTTACTTAAGTTGTAGTGGTCATTTAAAAAAGTGCAACATGTTTAACAAATTAAACTCACTTGGAAATTCCCATTCTACATCCAGTCCTCTGTATGCGTTATTTAACTTGACAGTTATCAGCTGAAGCACTAAGTTTTGCTTGGTTATTGCAATATTCTGTCTTGTAACATCTAGGCTGACTTCTGGGTTGTCTTTTTGGTTCATAAGCCCATTACCCACCAATGCAGCTTCGTACCTGAGTGTCAAAGTAAAAAAAAAGATTAAGGATTTTGGGTTATTCTAATAAACTGTGTAATCTATTGTTTAGAACTTATTATTAGCATTATTATTATTATTATTAACTTATAAAAAGAAATCTTAGAAATTATGAACAATACATCATAAAAATTGAACTTGACTTGATAAATAGTGTTACCTACACCAGTTTTGTTTCAATGGTTTATAAAAAATCTAAGAAAACTTGCAACAATACATCATAAAAAATATGACTAGACATGATAAATAGGGTTACCAACACTAGTTTTGTTTCATCAGCTGATAAAAAATCTAAAAAACTTGCAACAATACATCACAAAAAATAGAACTAGACATCATAAAATTGTGTTACCTACACTAGTTTTGTTCCATTGGTTGATGGAAAAATCTAAGAAGACTTGAACAATATATCATAAAAAATAGAACCAGACTTGATAAATAGTGAAGTTGCAAGAAAAGAGAATAATGTTCTTCTTATATTTAATAAAACCCCAAAACATCTTTAAGTACAAAACAGATTATTGTGATTTAATTATTACAGAAAAACAAAAGTAAAAATGACTTGATGAAAGTAAGAGATCTGATTTGATATTGATGTAAGCTTGAAAGTTGAGTTCTAAATAATCAAGTAAAAGATTAATACTCTTGAAAAAATCAAGAATATCTTAACGTGTTGTTCTATTTCTTACTCATGATATAATATAAAACACTTAAACACTTTGATTTCAAAGTTTCTAACATGTGACTGACAACTTTCGATATGTTTAATGATAGAATGTTTTGCGGAACTGTAGCATAGAACTAGGTGGGGTAATTTTGAAATGGAAAATATCTGATGTATCAAGGATGAATTTTAATATAAAGAGCTTTTGGAAAGATTAATTCATTACAAACATGATTTGCCATTAACTATAGTTAAATGTTTCTATATTTTCTGAATTACGATCACTATGTTTTTGATCTAATTTTTAATGTGTTTAATAATCTTAAGCAGTGAGCTTAACGAATCTTTTACATAGTTTATATTATCATAGATTTCTTTATTATTAAGCACAAAAGTTACACAATGAGTTATCTTTGCTCTACCAACTGCGGGTATCGAAACTCGAATTTTAGCGTTGTAAGCGTGAGACTTACCACTGAGCCACCGAATTATCGCAGGTTTAACTACAAGTACCAGAGGATCACTAAGTACTATCAATTTATGATTCCAAATTATCGTTATCACTAATCAATTTTTGAACTGACAATCATTCTTGTTTTCGTAACACATACTACACTGCAGTAAATACAAAATATACTTTCATGAAAATAATATTTTTTACATATGTGTATCTAAACGAGCACAACGACACCTATAATTATAATCTGTACATGTGAGCTCTATAAGCCAAATGTTTTTATTTGTGTTACTAGATGGCAGTACATTCTGTCACACTTACTTTGCTTTCGTTAGCCCATTCCAACAACTTCCTTGGCTGTTTCTCGTTGTTCTATCGCCTGAAACTTTTGGATTATCGCAAAGTTCATTTGGTAAGTTTGCCCAAAAATTCTTAGTCCGTCTGAGCTTCTTTTTGATTTTCCCTAAAAGTTGATTCAGGACGCTTTTGGTAGCTTTGTTGTCGTCATGTCTTGGACTAAATTTGAATGTCTTGAACTCCAACTCTTTCCTAGTATCTCTTTTTCCTAGACGAGGCCGCCCACATTTTTGAAACAACTGGAAAAGTACACACGCCGCATTGACATAAGCAGAAAATCAAAAGTTTTAATAGTAAAACTCATAGCATGCTAAGATGTGTGTACTTATTGTACTGGGCAAAATCCTAACTCATTCATACAAAACCAAGTTCATTCAGAACAGTCGAAAAATTAAAGAGTTAGTTTTAATGTTCCACGTTTTCTGAAACAATTTCAAACAAATACAAGTTTAACAACAAAAATTAAGTACTAGCAAAAGGTTAAAACATATAACAATTTTAAACTAAATATCATATAATTCGGATAACTTCAACAAAGTATTAGTTTAGTACAAGTTACAGCTTTTATTGTAAGGTTTGTTTGTAATTGTAATTAAGCACAAAGCTACACAATGGGCTATCTGTGCTCTGCCCACCACGGGTATCGAAACCCGGATTCTAGCGTTGGAAGTCCGCAGAAATACCGCTCTGCCACTGGGGGGATTTTATTGTAAGGAAGATTATTTTTACGTTTCTTACCTGTTATAAAAAAATAATCTTTATGATTAGCAAAAGCTGTAACTTGTAATAAAATAATACTTAATCAGTTAGTAAATTAAAAACAAAGAAAAATAAGTAATTCATCTATTTTAATTTTCACAGTTCAAGAAGATAAGAATTTTCTACAGGAAATATGACATTGTAAATAATACAAGTAAAATACTTTATAACAGAGAAAATAGATTTCAAACGAAAGGATCACAATAACTCATACCACTCTTAATTAAAAGTTCAAGCTACCCAGCCCTAAAAGAAAATGCTTTTTTTCCCCTGGAAGTGTTTTTTTTTTTTTTTACAGCCATTAGGTGTGCGAATTTTTTTTAATCCAGTTTATATTTTAAATGATTAAAATATGAGGTAAAAACTTTCATTGTAGCATTTCAAACTCTCCGTTTCTATCAACGGTAGTTTACTATAACAATTTGTACTATTGTTAATTAGAAACTGTTACAAAATGTTAATAATGCAAAGAAACTGCATATATTCGTTTTCTACCGTAGTCACAACAACGGTTAGTTCAGCTAGTATCAAGTTAACTTCATCACTATTTATTCTGACTATAAGTATTGTAAAGTTAGAAAACTGGAAGTATTCGTACTCTTATTAAGCATGAAGTACTACTTGATGAATAAGGAATCCATTTACTATTTCCCAAGCTTTCCTTTTTCTACAGTACCTGAGCCACAAAGAGGCATAATGAAACATAGGCCATTTATCATGGAGACGTATCTACCCGGCAGATCGCGCTGTTGGCCAACTCCCAGTGATGCCCCACTGGGCTTTTCTTGCTGCCGCCAGTGCATTCTATCCATAGCTAACAAGGTCAAACGTGTTCAGTCGTACTTGTTCGCACAGACTTGGTTGGAGGCAGAGATTCTACTATGTCACCAAACTCGAATAAATGGGTAAATGATCCGCCAAAAGAAACGTTCTCAGACGCTACGCCTTAATTGTTAAAATGGGTGAGTGTCAATGGATGCACCTGACAACAGTGATGGACGACAACGGCTGAAGTTTATCGCTTCAATCTTTCTGATGAAGCACGAAAATAAGAAGCCCACGTGCAACTTCACACGCACATTCTCGTTGCTTTATATACGCTTTTCACGAGTAACGTAGAGCATAGCCAAATACGAACTTTGCTTCTTGACTATGAGTAAAAGAAACAACAAAATATTTTACTTTATGTACATATACCCGAGTTTAAGTTTTATAAGAAGAAAAATATCTAACGTAGAGCTTATATTATAAAATAAGTTGTTCGTAAGAAGCAGAGTTGGTTGTTGTATCCACACCACGGTCGCCCAAGGACACGAACACGAGAAAACAACCAGCTTGTAAACGATACAAAGTCGTCATCTATTAAACTATAAGAAAATTAATAGTGAAATGCAAGAAAAACGTCAAAAAAGAATATGTATCCATCCTCCACTTTTCGCATAAATTTCACCAACTCAAAAAATTCCCTAAATACAAAACAGGCTATTGTGATTTAAGTCTTAGAAAGGGAAAAAATGTGAAAATGGCTTAACGCCAATATCAGTATACGAATTTGAACAGAACCTACTTTATAACCACTTATTTTAGGTTATTCTAAGACACCAGACTTTACCAACCCAAAATACAGATTGTAAGAAGAATCTGTATCATTGTTTAGACGAATCTACTGAAAGTTAACACTAGAAATGCACCTGAAGAAACCTAAACCCCCTTTTTTTCCTGTAAGATTGATATCTTCATAACTTAATGATATATTTCACAAACATTGGATGTAGCCTCATTCTACCACAGGGTAGATGAATGTGCTACCTAACAATCAACATATCTTGATTAAGCAAGATATAAATATTTAAAACCACGTCCCACCAGCAATCGATATCTGAATAGAAAACTCCTACATCAAGGTACACTCACCTTATTCAAAACAGCCTGACTGTTTTCCTGAAAGCTCTACATCACGGTATACTCACCCTATCCGAAACTGCCCGATTGTTCTTCATAAAGCTCTACATCACGGTATACTCACCCTATCCGAAACTGCCCGATTGTTCTTCATAAAGCTCTACATCACGGTATGCTCACCCTATTCGAAACAGCCCGACTGTTCTCCAGAAAGCTCTACATCAAGGTACACTCACCCTATTCGAAACAGCCCGACTGTTCTCCAGAAAGCTCTACATCACGGTATACTCATCTATCCGAAACAGCATGACTTTTTTCTGAAAGCTGTACATGAAGGCATGCTCACCTTATTCAAAACAGCCCGATTGTTCTCCATAAAGCTATACGTCATGGTATACTCACCCTATCTGAAACGGCCTGACTGTTCTCCTGGAAGTTCATGACAGCTTCGGAGATTCTGATCTCAATGGGATCTACAACAGCTTCGATGTTAAAGGAACTTTCTAGTCGGACAGCCAACATCAGAAGAGCCTCTGATCATGGAAGAAAAGCAAACAAACAAACAAAAACGATTAATATAGCGCCAACAATATATACTAAAAATTACTAAGTCACGAAAAATGGATCATCAATCCACAGGAAACGAAATAATATTACCTGAAGGTTGAGTTTCATCAGAGAAGCTTCGTTTGTTTGATGCTTTCAATATTCACGTAAAGCTACACGAGGGCCATCTGCGCTGGAGGGAAGGTTAACATCACATATAACAAGCTCTATGGTTACACTAATCGAAAAGTGGGATTCAACTGTCATTCTTATAACGTACTTAAGGCCCTAAAGTGCGGGAACGACCTTGCAACAACGGGACACAAACCGTGGACTTTTGGATTCATAGTTCGAACACGCTAACGACTGAACCACGTCAAGACCAAGAAGTAGAGTATTGTCCAACGCATTTCAAAGATTTACCAATTGAAATTCACTGCTGTTGTATAAGTAACACACCATCACATCAATGATTCTCATTGTAATTCTGTGATATCAAGTTATCAATTGACAGATTATGGGTCCGGCATGGTCAGGTGGTTAGGGCACTTGACTCGCAATATGAGGGTCGTGGGTTCGAATCCCCTGTCCCACCAAACATGCTCACCCTTTCAGCCGTGGAAGCGTTATAATGTGACGGTCAATTCACTATTCGTTGGTAAAAAAAAAAAAGAGTACTCCAAGAGTTGGCGGTGGGTAGTGATGACTAGCTGCTTTCCCTTTAGTCTTTTACTGCTAAATTAGGGACGGCTATCGCGGATAGTCCTCGTGCAGCTTTGCGCGAAATTCAAAACAAACAAACAATGTACAATTTTAGTCCCACAAACTAGAAAACTTCAGCTTTCTTGTCAGAATTTGTGCCTTCGTTGCCTTTGTTGTCGTGGTTTTTTCTCCTAGTCATAAAATTTCCGAAACCAGCCATGCACTTATAGATTTTTTATTATAACTAGCATTTTTTAATGAAAGATATACTCACGAGAGCTACCTCTTGAACGTTCTTTATATAATATATTGATATTCCTTACCATAGCGATGGTGTTAAAAGTTGAAATGAGTGCAGTAAGGTTAACGAGCTTTCTTCGGCCATCTTTTTTTTTTCCGTCCTCGCATCTATCATGCTGCCAAATATGTCACGAAAAACTGAAGAACCTATTTATCACCGGACTTTTACAGACAAATATCATACCTTTCATTGAAATCATCCAGCGTATCGCAGTTTTCAACCTTTATGACAAATTGTCCTACTTTTCAGAAGTGTGCAGCTTATCATATATTACCTGTTGTATGTATTTCAGTCAGTGTAGGTCAAATCAGCACCCAATGGAATTGAAATCAAAAGATTTACTAATAAAATGCTCCCTGTAACTTTTAAAAACACTGTCACGATGACGTTAGAGATACTTCCTGTTGATGTGGTTACGGGTTAAATATCGTTAACTTGGGAACACAATCACAATGACGCTAGAGATGCATCATACTTTTGAATCTTTGATAACCCCCGGGTATTTCTTATTGTCGACTTTGAAATAATACTTTAAAGTAACAGTAACTATATATACCTTTTAACTTCTGATCAAAGCAATTCACCTACGTAGATAAAAACGAGAAATAAAAATAGTAGTGAATATACCTAATTTAATATACTCTTCTTACTTATAATAACTGGGATGCATTTATTGATTAGTTTCGTACTCTCTTAATTAACAACATTTTCGGCCGTAATCCCAATAGTCTCGTGGTGGCAGCGGTAAGATTACGGACTTGCAACGCAAAAATCCGGGTTTCAATTCCCCGCAGTGGCCACAGCAGATAACTCGATGTAGCTTTACTTTAAAACAAACAAAAAATAATCCCAATATCAAATAAGGTTCGACTATCTTAGGAGATTTAGGTTAGTCCTGAATCCACGTGGGCCTCAAGCTTCAATGATGATTTTTGTTGACTTGACACTAGGGTATGTACTTGTTTGCACATTTTATTCTGCATTTTTTCTTATTTTGAAAAATCAGCGAGTCAGATTACTTAGCACATACATTCACTGCTTTTTTTTTTATTTCTGATATTATAAAAGACTGTAGATGCCATTTTGAAAAACTGTGGAATACTAATTCTAGGTTTTACCTAACCCAATCAATCCACGTGATCTTCACCACTTATTGACGTAATGGGCATCTGGTTAAAAGACACTGTTTGACATAATATTTCTGATGACCTTTTCTATGTAAAAGATTACCTACTGGTCGTGAAGATATATTTCATTTCAAGCAATTGATAAGTTAAGTGGATGTAAATGGTTACTGTTGTTTTTTTTTACGTAAAGCTACACAACGGACTATATGCACTTTGTTCAAAGCGCCGAATCGAATCCTGGAGTTTAGCATTGTAAGTCTGGTAACTTACCGCTTACCCACTGGAAGAGCGGATGTGAATGGTTTGTTTGTTAATTTGAAGTTAAGCACAAAGCTACACAATGGGCTATCTGTGCTCTGCCTACCACGGGTATCGAAACCCGGTTTCTAGCGCTGTAGGTCCAAAGACACAGCGCTGTGACACTGGGGGGCGGGGTGTGAATGGAAGAAAAATACTGAAATAAATATTAGTAATATGTGTTAACAATATATAACTTATTTTCTACTCATTCAACTCCTCCCTCTTTCTACGTAGTTAAAAGTCAAAAACAACTACCATCGATGGACACCTCTATAGATTGGTTACTACGACATTCCAGCGACCCACATTGCATCTAAGCGGTGAAGATGAAAGAGGCCGCCAGAGGGAGCCCGACAGGTTTAGTCTTTGGCAAGACGTGAGCTGCATAGCTGTTTGCTGCTCGTTCACATGGCGAGGATGTATTTATTATCTATTTCGTGCAAATATAATTCAAGGTAAAGTGTCCTGTGGTAGAGCATGTTTGGTATCTTACCTCTAGGGTTGTACTTTGTATTCAGAAAACACGTTTGACGTCTTCTTGTTACCTAAACGGTGTTAGGAATTCACGCCGTTGATCCGGCCAAATGACTAATGATTACCCGGCGCTAGTCCCTACGATAGATTTTTAAGAAAATGTCTGATAAGCTAACAGTTTTATAATTAATCGCGTGTCACTAATGGTTGCACATCATCAAATTGCGTATTTCCTTCCGGCCAGGGCATGCTCTGATCAGGCAGAGCAAACTCCTGTTGTGTTCCTTCGTTGCTCAGGTCAAGTTTGGAGCGTGATTTCAGTATTTAGACAGAATACAACCACCAACCATGGCAAAAAATCTAGGCGTTATATCAGTGACGTTAAGTGTCATGGTGCCACCTGATAACAAGCCGAAATTATCTTTCGGTTTTGGTGACTCCCTAAAAAGAGACGTAATACTTATTAACACGAAGGAATTAAATGTAGCCCAAGATATTAGAAATATAATATTTAAAGCAGCAACAGGAACATTATTTCTGGATGAGAAAATAGTCTTTTATTAGCTGATGTTTATAACTTTTGGCAGCAATGACGCCGCGACTATACGTGTTTCTTTACACGTTACTCGGGTAATTTCGAGGGAGACTCGGGTCACTCTCCCTAAGGTATAAAGAAACAGGTCAATGATAGAATACAGTGCCGAGGTTGCACGCGTATCACATTAAACATTCTTTTGATTTTAAATAACATGAAGACAGGTTACCTCACGAGGGCTGAAAACTTGATTTTCCTTACAGTTTTAAAGCAAATTGAAAATGTAATTTTCAACAATCCCTAATTTTGGGCTAATGACCAAAAAGAGAAACCAGAAACAACTGGTGCCAAAAGGGCTGTGCCTGGCTCTTTGGATCGAATAATAAGATTGACTCTCACTTTTATAACGCGCCCACGGCTGAATGCGCGGAGGGTGTTAAGCGACTTCATTCTTCTAACCTTGAACAGTTCAATATGCAGCCCAGAACTCTAACCTATCCTTTCTGTAAAGAAATATTCTGAGAAAGAAGAAAAATTTAACAAGATTTGTTGAAGCTCATAAATGAAAGGAATGCATCAAGATAAAAGGTTTGACTGTTGTTTTTTTGGAAAGGTTTAGTCAAACATCACCAAACTTTAATTAACAGTTGTGGAACATATACATTACCCTAACACTATACAGTAAAATTAACTTCAAAGACGGTGTTTTTATCAGAATAAGATTGACCATGTGAACCATTTTGAGTTAGATCTTCAATAATAAGTTTCACATGTCAAACTTGTATATTCGTAATGTTAGGCAAACACATAGGTTAAAAAAAACAATTAGAGACAAAAATGTCAAACCCTATAACCCAAGCGCCTTCAAAATATGGACTTTTCTTCATCAGGGGCGAATTCTAATTTGCACCTGATGAAGTAAAGTCCACTTTTCGAAAGCGTTCTGGTTATAGGGTTTCTTATTTTTGTCTCAAACTTTTATATAATATTCGAGGAGGTAATTTTTTTAAATGATAAAAATATGTGGACATCAAATTGAATGAAATATGCCTACAAAAAATTTCTTCAGATACTATTAAGTAACATTTTGCATATAAAACTGGGTTTCTAGGAAAGTTTTTCCGTTTGTCCAATAATAAGTTAAGTTTGACAAACTTGAAAATAAAAAGCGGAAACAAACGAAACTACCATTATCGCGACTTAGATCACACATATATTAAACACACACACACAAACAAAGAGGTAAAACAACTTCGTATGTAACAGTAAATCTCCTCACGACATTAGTTACACTAGCAAAAATACTTGTCCTCCAGGCAGGTATAACTGCTCGTTTCTTCGGCCGTTTCTGGAATTTTCTGACAGTTCTACAACAGTGTACTCATACTTGACATTCAATAATGTTCACCATCCATAAGAAAAGGGATTTTTATTGAAACTGTATTTTAGAAATGACCTATCACCACAGCATTACATCACAGAGTAGATTTTATTGAAGTATTTTTTGTGGACGCAGTTATCAATGAAAGTTAAATCTGAAACTTACTC